AATTTCTACATTTTTGAAACCAAAAACAAAAGGGTTGGGTTTTTGTTTTACACTTTTGTTCAATATCAGGTGAAAGTCCTATCAAATGTCTTAGAAAAATCTACTCGAGAAACAGAGTAAATTATATCATATTAAAAATTGTAGTAATAAGCTTCCACGATATCGGAGACATGTTGAATTTATTTAAAAATAATTTTATTTTATTTTGACTGGCGCCCGTGCAGGGGAATATTTCAAAATACAAGAACGGACAAATGTTGTACAAACATAATTTAAAAAATTTTTTTATATCTTGTTTAGTTCGATTCAACAAATTGTTAAAATTATTCAAAAAATTATAATACTTAATTTTGACTGGCACCCGAGCGAGAGAATATTACAAGTGTGTAAATAAATCGTTATCATAATTTTTACAAAATTTACAAATTAAAAATGTACAAATTTTTCATATCCTGTTTGCTTTCGTTCAAAGAATTATTGAAATTATTTAAAATAATACTTAAGCTGAACTGGCGCCTGATTGAGACGATATTACAAATGTACTAGTATATCATCATCATTGGTTTGAAGAGTACAAGAACGGAGAAATGTTTGCAATTACACTTGCATAATATTCACAATTACACAATTTGCATATCTTGTTTGCTTTTAGTCCACAAATTGTTGAAATAATTTAAAATCAAAATCATGATACTGGAACTTTAAATGGCGCCCGAGCAAGGAAATATTATACATTTGCAAGTATATCGTCATTATTGGTTTCCAGAACGCAAGAACGGAAAAATGTTTACAAACATAATGTATACAATTTTTTTCCATCTTGTTTACTTTTCTTCAACAATCTAAATGAAGTAACCAAACAAAATGTTACTTGAAAATATTTTCTTAGTAAAAATGTTAAAAAAAAAAGTTACATGAATATTAACCGAAAAATTCGTAATGTATACCTTAAATTAAACGAATACCTACTTACATACTCTTATACAAGTCCTCACAAACTCTGTTTTTGAATTATATATATATATATAGGAATAAAAAAAATTCCTTGACAAATATTTGCTTAAGTAAATAAAAGATGTATTATATGGAATATTTCAATTTCAGAATGAAAAAAGTAAAAATGAAGACAATTTTCTAATGTTTTCTCCATAAATCTGAAAATATTTACTTAAAAAATGAAAAATTTTTACATTTTCATTCCACATACTTAAAATGTATACACAATATACAAGCCAAATGGAGGAAAATATTATGTATTTTCAAAAAAAAAAAAAATTACATAAAACATAATATATTGTGTGTGTGTACAAAATAAATTCCTTAATAAAAAACAAAAAATATTTTCAAGAAAATCTTTCTTTTCTTCTTCCCAGGAATCATGCTGAGTTTTTGACTTTTATTTATCCATTTTTTTTTTTGTTCTTCTGCATCTCGAAATTTTCATTTTAATGACATTACATATAAAATATCGTTTAACTTCTTGTCATTGTATTATTTATTTTATATTTATTTTATACAATTTATACTTAAGATTTGAATCATAAATTTCCGGAATAAATTTATTTTTGATAGTTTTAAAATGTGATATAGAGAAAGAGAGAGAAAAATATATTGCTTTCATTTAATTTTAAAATTTCATTGTCAATTCAATCAGTAAAATTAAATATTATAATAATGATTTTTAATTTAATAAGAGAAAAATTGTATTATAATTTAAAATTGTCTGTTGAACAAAGTATTTCTATAGAGAAAGCAGTATACAATTAAAATAGCATAGTATGAGATCAAGTTTATCATAATCCAATTCAACAAGCAAACGAAATGTTGATTATCGGCTAGTATGGGACACAAATTTTATGAGTCTGAATTTAAACCCATCGCGTATAATTACGAGCATTTTTAAATCTATCTAAGCTGCGGATTAACAAATCTATTCTTATGCAAGTAGCAGCATTAATTTGAAAATAGTAAAACAGTGAATATTTCTAGCATTCGAAATAGCTGCTATCAGCATTTTGCATTTAGTTTTAATTTTATGTTCGATACCATTCTTTCCTTGTAATTTTGTAATTTTAAAATGCTTACATATTACAAAGAGGTGACGTAAGCTCTATGATTGCCACATTGTTATGAATTAATTTCTTTTATCGCTAAGTAATTAAAACATTAACGTGTAAGTAAGTTATTCAAGTGAAGTTTTCTTTAATAATAAAATCAATATCTGTATTATCCTAAAAACTTTATAAAATATTTGTGTCGTCAATGCTCAAAAAACAATCTTACAAAACTTTATAAGATTAACTTGCATAATCTTTTCCTTTTTTTTATCAAATGCTTTAGTTTCCTTCGTTAACTTTTCGGTAATAAATACTTTCGTTTAGTTACAAAATGTATTCTTTTGAATTGAGACGTGCAAGGATTTGAATTATATCCGGTGAAAGGTCTAGAAGGCCTTTGAAGATTTATGTTTTAGGAGTTAATTCCACATAGTCTGACTGTCAATGACGAACAGTAACTGTTGTAACAATATTTTCACTTACTTGGCATTTGAATTAACAATGTTATGCCCTTAATTAGATATTAAATTTTTACATGCCCTCTCGTTTTATTGGTAGTTTTGTGGTATTTTGTGTTCAATGAACTTATACAATGATTTATTTTCTGAGATTAACTATATTTTATTAGTTTATCTCAACTCATACTTGAATCTGTTTATAACAACACAAGAATATTTTTTCAGTTTTTTGTTTAATCTCACTTCAATTTAACTATATTAACTATGTAGAAATAAAGAGCATATGGGAAGAGAAAAAGTTTTTATTTTTTTAATTTAATCAAATCGTTTCAAAAAATGTGCGTGATAAAGAATAAAGAAAGAATAATAATGCAAAATATTTGCAAAATAAAAAGCAGTAATAAAAAAATTCACGAAGCATGAGAAAAGAACACAAGAAAAAAATTTCAAACTTTCAGTATCCTGATGGGATTAAAATAAGGATAACTGACATAAAATATTATTATTTTGCCATTTATTATAATTTAATTTTATTCGTCTCAAACAATGGCTTGGCAATGGATCGCAAGAAGTATTGATGACTACATACTACATAAATAAATATTAACGCTCAGTTCAGACTCAGTTGTATGGAGGGAACTACAAATATTGTACAATATTTGTAGAAAACAGTCATCAGAATACTAAAAATTGAAAGAGAGCGTGGAAATATTTTGTATAATATTTCAAATTCTAATCATTGATTTAGTTATGTTACACTAAACATTACGAATTTATTTAAAACTCCAAAAAAATTTTCAAACAATATGTTTGCATGTTCAGCCAAGATTTTATTAAATTTTCTCATCAATTCTAATTCCGACATGATATTACGAGCAAATCCCAGCTAAATGATTTATTATGGTAAAAACAAATCAACAACTTAAATATAATTAAGTTCTACCTAACTCTCGGGCATTTCAAAAAAACTGAATACTGAATACATTTCAAAAAACTTCTCAATACTTCACGAATTTGTAATATTCAATTTCTCTTCATTAGGCTGTCAGCCAAAAGAGATCATTACCATTAGTATTCGATAACAATAACCATTACATTGAGTATTCGATTTTGCGTACCATAGTCTATATTTTTACGAACGTATTCGTAGGTATACTGATAATGTTGTAAATATAAGGTATTACAAACCTACATTGAAAATTCAAGACATAGTTTTTAAGATATACTTCCTATGATTAATGCGACCATGTAAAATTTCATATAACCATTGTATCACTTTTTCTTACGTCTTCTCCTCCTCACATAGCTTATATTGAAGACATGAGAGAAATTTTAATACAAGAACACACAATATTAAGTATATGCACGGAAAACAGATAAATTGTTTGTGAATCTTTTTTATATTATAGGAATTAATACACGTACATATCTCTATAGACATAATGTCTATAACTAATAAATACTAATATAACGTAGAACGTGCATTTCGGATAAACATGATATCTGTATTTGTATGAAGATTTTATTCGTACATTATTAAAATTTTTAAAATTACGTTTTTATGTTTTTAAATCTCTAAAATTATTTTTGAAAATGAGAGGTGCTATGAGATTAATAGCATTATCTCTCGGAATATAAATTTTTTTATTAAATAAAATTTGGAAACTAATGATTATTGTCCCATAGAAAAATAGTCTTACTGTACTTAATTATTATGAAATACAATTAAAAATCCAAAATTACTTTTGTGACAAAAAGTATTGCATACGAGTATAAGAGTTTTTTTTTTCTTGAACAGACAACTTACGCAACAATAATAATTACAGTCTGACCCTCCAACTCAGATCAGCCACTATTAACTCATTTTCTTGGACTAAAATCATTCCCGCAAATTGAGCTACAAGTCATGTTCGAATTGAGTGCACAAAACAGCTTAATTCCATAGAAAAATTTCATATATTTTAAATGAATTACTTTAAAAATTTAAAACATTTTAGTAGTATCAATTCAATTTAGTAATTTAATGAATGCACAAATTATTTTCATAAAAAAAATATTCCTGTATAATCATTATTATTTCTTATTGTAATTACTTTTTAAAATATTAAAGTTATTCAACAAATAAAATTTCCAATAACTAAAATTTCTAGATGAAGACTAAAATCTTTATGAAAATATTTCAAAATAATTTTATTAAAGCTTTATTACAATAATTTTTCTATTTTTTCTTAGCTTCTCTAACATTTGCTACCATCATTGTAAAATTAAATTTACCTTGATTACTGAAAAAAAAATTTTATTTAATTTTCATAAATTTTTTAACCTAAGTACATTCAATTGTATAGCATATAATAATATAAGAACATTTCCATCAACAAAGCACAAGTAGGAGATATTCCTTAAATAGATTTTTTGTTTCTTTTTTTTAAAAATTGGATCGAAGAGGATCTATAGAAAATAAGGGAAACATCATAAATATACTTACTTGACTACACAATACTGACTGTATAACTACTCCTCTTTCTTGTCTATATAGTTACAATTGACTGATTTTCAATATTGATGATTACGTTTTCCTGTAGAGATCAAAAGTTCCTGTAAATATAAGCAAAATAAATAAAAAAAAAAATTTAGTATAAAGAAGGAAAGAAAATTTAAGAAAATTTTATTTAAAAACAATTTTTTAAAATTATAAAATAAATATATTATAAGGAGCAATATAGTGAGGGCAATCAACATTTTCGACACTAACGTTTGTTGAAATCAGCAATAATATTATTCAGTCTAAATTTGACCTCTTATAAGCCCGCAGTCACACGAGAAAGTCCTAGTCTTTTATTATTTTATAACACGAAATATTGAATTTTCCACTTTGTTTTTCACATAGTGGAAAATTTTAATGGATATAATAGCAAATCTAATTTTGAGTGTCGCTACTGTAATTTGTCAGATTAATTTGTTCATCTGTCCAATAAATCGCTTAAAACCACCATTACTGTGGTGTAAATGTAGGTTTTTGTTAAAACAATAATAAATATTCATTTGTCAAATTATTCTCTTCTTCTATTAGATAATTAGCTTCACATAATGCCTAACAATTTCCAAATTACAAAATTTCGAAAATCACTCTAAACACAATGAATAAGCAGAACGTCTACAACAAGATAATAAACCTCTTGTTTTCAATTTACTGAAAATAGATCTCAATATATAGTGACCTACATACAATTTGTATTCCATTTTCATATCCTGTTTTTGTTTTTTTAATTTCAAATTTTAATATTAAATCAAAATAATATTTAAATTCCATTAATTCATTATTCAAATTAATATACAGTGGCATCTCTACAACAATAAAAAACGGCAAATCCTACTCAATTTGTTCGCAATATGAAATAAAACTTTATACATAATATTAAAATGTTTCTTATTTAGAGATTTCACTGTAAATATAAAGAATAAATATGAAATAAAAATGATAATGGACGGAATATAAGACCGGAAAATTTCAATGTTTCCGTTCACTTTATAAGATTTATCTTGAAGTATGACTTTTTCCTGTATATAAAATTTTATATTTTTTAAAAGTTAATTTCTAAAGAATTCTTACTTAAGAATTACTAATGGTACTTTTATACGCAAACCTATACATAGACACAGTATTTAATATTATACTTGGCAATATAGTAAATAATAATTATAAAACTATAGCATTATTTATATTGTATATATATTAACTTGTATGTATATGTCCAAATTTAAATATTAAATACACATGCATACATATGTACATATAAAAACAAAAAAAAAAATTAATTAATTCTTGAAAGGGACCATTATTCATTCTGTCAAAATATATGTTAAACACAATTTATATTCCTTTTTTCTATCTTAAGGATTAAAATAATATTGTAGGACTATAAAAACTTTAAGAACTGAAGTAAAAGAAGAAAATAAAACCCAAGAAAATTTTTTGTGTTTTTTATTGGAAATTACAAATTCAAGAAAATTTTAATATTGAAAGTATGATCTGCAATATAATTTTTGATTTCTTTTCTTCCTTTTGAACTTGGTTGTTCCTTAATAGAGAATAAGTTGAACTAAAAACTAAAATTTGCTTAGATTGTTTACTGGTTTCTATTTAAATGAACAGCAAAATCACAGCAGGAGATGAAAATTTTATGTTACAAACGAGAAATTCGAAAATTATGAATAGAAAATTCCAATAGAAAATTTAAATTTCTTGCAATTTGATATTAAGTTTTTCTATTATCTAATGTGGTGTCATGAATTCAGTGAGATATCTAAGACTTAATTTGGTTCAGTTTCATTCATATTAGGATAGGAAATTCAAAAACAAAAATTGTTGCTAAAAATATTTTGTTCCAATGGCGCCCGAAATGATGCGGAAATGATATCGGATACCATTCGTTTCATTATTGTCCCGATATCATTTCGGTATCATTCCGGGCGCCATTTGGAGCAATTTATTTCAAAATTTTTAATAGTTAAACAAAAATAATTGTGATTATTTTAGATTTAGTTTTCATCTTTTAGGTTTACTATTATACATAAATATTGAAACAGTAAAATTAAAATTTTTTTATAATCAGCCCTAAGGTATGCAATTTTTTTATTTTTTTATTACAAAGTCATGACTCCATCAATTTTAAAATAGTTATAATAGCTTTTAATTTGAATATATTTTCCCGTTCCTGTCAATAATAATAAGAATAAAAAAATTTAATCAAAAGTTCGAGATTTTTTAAGAACAACTTTTTTTTATCGCCATCTTTCTCATCAATAAACTTTGTATCTTATTTTAGCTTAAGTAATGAAATTTTCTTATAGCTTGTATATCTTTAGCATTTATTTCAAGTTTTCTATTATTTAATAATATAATGAAAAAAAAAAAATAGAAGAAAAAGGAAAAAAAATGAAGGATCTAAAGCATCTTTTTTCCTTCTCTGATCAATATTGTTCAATTTAAAAAAAAAAAACAAGAACAGGGATCCAATCTTGCATATTTTGAAAGGACAATTTTCTCTATTGTATTGAAAAGAGATTATATTGAATATAATCAATGACCCAAGAAAGAAAAAAAAAATATTTTCTTTAAAAAAAGCAAAAAAAAAAAAAAAATTACAAATTCAACAAAGGTCAAATAAAAAACATTTAAAATTAAAGCAAAAATTTTATTTTTTTTTTTTTGCTTTTCTTATTCTTTTTTAATATAGAATACAATAAAAATAAAGTTGGGTCAAACCAATGGTTTGTATTGTAGCACTTTTCCCTTAAACAAGTGAAAATACTGCTTTTAAAAACAGTCTATGTATATCCACCACACTATTAAAATTATTTTCATTTATAAACGAAACTATTTCTAGGATTGCATATATTTAGGATGAACCATTTATGCAGTCTTTGAAATAAAGCAAAATTTAATATAAACAGGGGTTAACATAATGCTCGATTTTAAGGGTTAATTGTGTGAGTTAAGAAAAATAATTATATTTTTTAATTTCATGGAATTTACTGTTAACTTTTTGCGTTTATAGAAATTTGAAAAAACTTGCGGTTTCAGAAATATAAGGTGTCAAAAATGCATATTTCACAAATTTCAAGAGGCCATAACTTGAGAGGGGGTGGAGATGGAAAAAAATTTACTTCTAACGAAATGAACTACTTGTTAATGTCTAAAAGCTCTTAAAATTTCAAGCTTCTACAGGCTGGGGTCTAGAAGAAAAACGACATGAAAAATTTGGAAAAAAAGGACTTTAGATAACGGTAAATTTGAACGGCCATTTTGTTTTTCTAAAGTTTAACTATAGTATACCGCGGTAGGGGAAGCAAGTCACTGCCCTTCTGCGTTTGCAAAATTTCAAAAATGCTTATGGTTTCATTGCAACAAATAGTTAAAATAGGCCATTTTTAGTGCTTTGGGGGGGTATAACTTCTAGAGGGGGGGAGATAGGTAAAAATTTTGTTCTACGAAAATAAGTTTCTAGTAAAGATCTATGTACGTATTAAATTTCAGCTTTCTATCTTTAAGAATGTAGAAGTTTTGTAAACAGACACACGGACAGACGGACGGACGGACGGACGGACGGACGGACAGACGGACGGACGGACGGACGGACGGACGGACGGACGGACGGACGGACGGACGGACGGACGGACGGACGGACAGAGTGAAACTAATAAGCACTTTTTTTCAAAAAATTTTTGGAAAAGTGCTAAAAAAAAAGGATCCTAAAGTCAATATTGTGCGAATTGATTTTAAAATTATTAAATTGGAAAAGGAACATTAAGTATGTGGATCCAAAATCCATTATCATCTCTCTATCTTCTATTCTAATTTTTTTTATATTAAAATGTTTGTTTGTATGTGTAAATTTGTAGCAATAATGTGAAATATAATTTAAATTTTGTGATATTGACAGGAAGAATATACACTAGTTTAATTCTAAAAATCAATCAAAATTTCATTATAGCTTCTTAGGCAAGCAGTCACCAATAATTTTCGCTATTATTATTTAAAATTTAACAACCATTCATAATAATTCTCGATATTATTTTCTGCTTAAATTCAGGGAATATTAATAATCAGAACTACAGAATAAAAGGAAATAACACAAGGACAATTTATACAAAGTTCACACAGAGTAGAGGCATTCACCACTCTTCTAATAGTAAAATTTTAATTGCCTTTATTAAGAATTTTGTAAGTAGAATAACTAATACATTGATCGACTGAAATCTTCACATTATGGTTGACAGGCTCTTTCCTCCTACAAAACTATCTCTAGCTCTGCTACAGTTTTGTTATGCATTGTGCCATATACTTGCGTAGTATTTTATGAAATTTTAAATTCTATTCTGATTAACATTATTGAAATCATATATTTTCTTTGATATTCTACTCATAACAATTTTATGTGGGTTTGAAACAATGAAATAAATTTACAATTTATTATCTGTAACTACTTCTATGACATTGAAATATGTATATATATATATATATAAAATAAATATTATCATTTTCCCTAATGACTTATTCTTTTCTAAGGAAAATTCTTTAAATATTCATCATGTGTCAGATGGTTTTGTCAAGGTAAGAAAAACTCTTATTTAATATTAGTTTTACTTGACATTGAAGATAATAATCATGATCATAATAATAATAATGATGATATAGAATTAATGATGATGATGATGATTAAGTTGATGATGACAATGTTATTCTCTATAAAAATAAAATACTTACTTAAAGATTTTTATTATTAAGTAAAAGACTATTAAAAAAAAAATATGAAAAATATTTTGCATCTTCCTATTCTTTTGTTTAATTTGTAATAAAAGAATAATGTTTGAAAAAGAAAATTTCAGGGAAAATTTTATGTTTTTTGAATGCATTGCTCAATTTTTCTCTATATTACAGATTTTTTTCTGAAAATTAACGACAAGTCGTTTAGTATCCTTGTAAAATATATGAGAAAAAAATTAAAATTGATGAGTAACGCATAGACTGACTCAGTGTTTAAATATGACCTACAAATAAATAAAATGTGACTCCTTTCAAGTAGATCTGTTCA